TCGAACCCCGGACCATGTGCATGGTCGGCGAGAGTCCTAACCACTGTGCCACCGACGCCCACCTCATTTCAGTAGGTCAATGATGAATAGCCAGTTTAGTCACACAGTGATGTTTTAGATATTCATCAAGTCATAAATCAATATCACGAAGAGATTAGTCTATCATTATAATGCCTATTTACAAACGTGAGATGTTCTGTCTAAATGACTCATTCATTCATGTAAACGCCCTTCAACCAGTAAGGTGTGTTGCCGAAAGTTATATAAAACATGTTAATCTTTAGTGTTCAGATCATCACAAGGCTGTTTTGAAGGCGTATTCTAGATTAATGAATCAGTAGCTCAGCACACAATTTTTGCCTGTACTCATCATTTTACACTCATCGTGTGTCATCGAAAATAAAAGGAAAGACACATCATTCTTACCCTTGTTAGCCACAATTAAATACAGATACCAAAGACAATGTCAAAAAACGTCACTTCCTATAGCTACAATGTAAAGAAGACAGGACTAACCACTTCACATATAAGTTATAATGTAATGCATTTATCATACTTCCGTACTGAACGCCTTGTAGACTTGACAAGAAAGTTGAAATATGTACAAGACGCGAGACGATTTTTATCAAAGGTTTCATTTGGTTTGTTGATTACTGAATCACACAACCCTAAGAAAAATAGCTTTAGGTTCATTAGGTCGTAAAATCCAATATGTTGCCCCTGGATGTAATATTTGGTCGGCCATCTGAATTTAGAACTATGTAGAAATATCTGAGTGAGTCAGGTTTGTGTTGATCAAAAGTAGATATAGCAGTGGATACTATTCTGAGGTTCGCCAATCGAGTGGGATGTCAATCAACTTACAGTACTCACTATATAATTGATTCATTACCCTCTACTAAATTAACACAACTTGATTTCCAGTTTCACATAGCAAACTATCATAAGAAATTAGAAGTATTATGGTGTTGAGAGGAATCAGTCTCAGATAATGTCATCATCTTATCCCCCAATTGTTCTTCCCATGAGTAGTTCCACAAACAATGTTGAATACACGACTGACTCCTGAGTTCATCATCAGACCAGAACAATGAGGGATTTCCATATTATTTCTTAAACAATCCAGTGGTAAGCAGGTGGAAAGAAAAGCCATAAGTTCTTGCAGTCGCATCACATCCATTAAAGGATTGTGTAGGCAGAAATCGGTTATAAAAATACAAAAAATGGCTAGTGAAAAATACATCGTATAAACTAGTATACGTAGAGAAATTGTTTGAAATATATGTCGTGAAAATGAGCTCAGCGAAAATTGGGAGATTGTCAGGGGTTATTTATATCTCTGAATCATGTAACAGCATAAGCTTCTAACCAGTTGAGGGGCGAAATTAAACTCTCCGAAACGCATTCATGATAATATATTTAAAGCAAATGATTCACTTCATATTCAAATTTCTTTCAGCAGATTTCTAAATTCACCTTTCTCTGTGTCACATTCAAGCAACACCTAAAAAAAACAGATAACTGATTCGATGATCATGCGAAGAAGGTGACGTTAGATTGTTATCACATATTTCATATTGAAGGGGAATTTCTTGTTGATGATTCACTGAATTATTTCCGAAATATTTTCGTTTTCCAGGTACAACTGCAAGTGAGTTTCAAATAATCTAATTTTGATACTTCAAGTAATTTTGCTTCATTACTATCCACAACAGCAAAATAAGCTGACTGAATAATATAAAGTGCATTTAAAGAATCCTAGCGTGATTAAAATACCAAAATAAAATTTCTCCAAACGTTCTGTTGTGTAGATTACAGCCTCTTCAACAGCATTACTCTGATTTAATTAACTACCAAAATATTGTAAAGAGTTATATTGAAGTGAACTCCTTTGAAGGTCACTAGGTGGTACAGTCTTGTACCAATAAAAAAATGTAGGCGGTTATCACATATCTGTAATGACTAATATCGTATTTGGCGCATATGTAGCATTGATACTGTGGAAGATGAGTTATACATTTTGAGGAAACTCCTAATGGAAAATGGATTTCCACCACGTTTTATAGATAAGAATATACATTCAAAGCCTACAAAACGTGACTTATCAACCGTTCTCAAAAAAATACTTTACATGAGCTCGGAATTCAGAGTGGGCTTAGCTTCCGATATCATGCAACGAAGGATATCACAGTCTCTGAAAAGAATGTTCCCTGCTGCATCTCTGAGAATAGCCTTTACTAGCCGACAATTATTGTTCAATAACCTGAAGGACACGATCCCACTGTTGACCATCTCTATGTGCGTTTATCAATTCACCTGCTCATCTAGTGCTGGGTAGATCCGTCCTTCGACTCGAGTTTTGTCCAAGAGGGTGCAAGAACACTATCCTACATGGCTACAAAAAGGTGGAAGTGGAGCAATAAGAAGCGCGATCATTGAACATCTAGTCGATAGTGATCACCCTATCTCTATAGCCTCCACCTTTAAAGTCATCCACAGGGCAAAGAGTAATTTACCCAAATCCCTACGTACCCGACTCATCTGTACTGCTGAAGCTTTGGCTATCGAAACAGAATAGCCAGATCTCTGTGTACAGAAAAAGTTCATTCAACCCTTCCAACTTTCATGCTGTTAATCTTTCTATGCTAAAATATGGTAATCCCCAATCATATTTTACCTGTACCAATTTTTCATTTTTCATTTCGTCTATTCAATTTGTATCCTCTTCCTTATTAAGTCAATTGTTATTATTACTATTCTCACTTTGAACTGTCCCCGGTATTATTTTACTTGTTCCACTTGTCATTCTAAATCAGTTCTTTTTTACAACGATAAATTCTATGCTATTAAATTTCAGACAATATTACGTAGCGTTTTTGTTTTGTTCAATTTGCCTACTGATCCTATAATTGCACCCCTTTTTTCAAGTTCTATCCATCCTATGCTTTGCCACTTGACATTTAACTAAGATTATAATCACAAACATTTTAATTTTAATTGAACTTCATATTATTATTATTATTTTATGCATTCACACCTAAGATTCAATTGCCTCACCGGATATAACTTCATCAAATTTGTTGAAAAGAGTCTGTTCACTGAATCACTTGTTTTGATTTTTTTATATGTTACAATGGGAGTTTTCCATGAGTTAAAATCAAATTATCAAGTTTTAGTTTGACAGTAACTGATCTGTTTCCTAGATTGTTAGACTCGGCTGTTAACAAAGTCTCACAAGAACTCCAGGTAACTTCTCGCATAGAGACTATGACATTGGCTGCTGTTTGCGCCTTACTTACTTACTTTACTTCGGCTATCTCCTACGGGAGGATGAGCCGGCTTCATGAACGTCTCGAATCATCGCTGCCCAGGCGCGGCGATCTGAAGCAAGGTTTTGCGATAGGGATATCCAATTCTTGTTCCACATACGGAGTCCGTAGACGGTTTGTAGCCCCAGGCACTCCATATCTGCCTTGACTGTACCAAGCCATGTCTTCAGCTGTCCGCCCTGCGACATCGCCAAGATGGTAATGGCGAGGGATTTAGAACTGATTTGACCAGATCGTCATCTGGTCGGCGCAGAACATGGCCAAACCACCGAAGGCGGCGTTGTTGGACCAGTACTGGAATTTGGTTGATGTTGTAGCAACGACGACGCACTTCTTCGTTGGAGAGTTTGTCCTGCCAACGAACATGCAGAATGTACCTGAGACACCAATGGTCTAATACCTCGAGTCTGCGTAAATCTTCCGCGCGAAGAGGCCAGGTTTCACAGCCATACAGGAGAACGGGTCGTATGGAAGCTTGGTAGACCCGAATTTTAGTCCTGAGACTGATTTCTCTCTTGCTCCATAGAACGCTCCTCAGCTGTAGAAACGCATTCCGGGCGTTGGAGATTCGCGCATTCACTTCGTTTTTCGCTTGGCCGTTGGGGAGCATTATGGATCCCAGATATCTGAAGGATGGCACAATTTCAATAGGTGCTCCATTTAGGGATAAGATTTCATCATTGCTGGTGGATGTGTTCGAAAACATTTTGGTTTTGGAAGTGTTAATTTTCAAACCGATAGTAGGCGCGAGGTGGTTTATCTGGTCGAGCGCCTGTTGCATATCGGGGAAGTTTTCAGCTAACAGCACGACGTCGTCGGCGAATTCGAGGTCGGTTATGTGAATATCGGGCGAAAGTTGGACGCCGTGGTGCTCGGTTAGGGCGTGCCGCAAAATCCAATCAATTGTGAAATTGAACAGGATGGGGGATGCTGGACAACCTTGCCGGACACCGCTGGTTACCTCAAAAGTGCGGGACTCTTCACCGTTCACTCGGACTCGAGCTTTGGTGTTGGAGTAGTATGACCTGAGCAGGTTGATTAGCTTGGTCGGAACTCCGTCGAGCTCCATTAGATACCAGAGTGCTCCTCGATCAACTGAGTCGAATGCCGCTTGGAAGTCGATGAAGCAAGCAACCGTCGGCTGTTGGAATTTGTCCCTGTGTTCCAAAATTCTTCGCAGTGTGAATAATTGATCAACACAGCCTCTTCCAGGTCGAAATCCGGCTTGATTTGGCCTTGTTCGCACGTGGCGTTCGGCCGCGAAGCGGTTCAGGAGAATGGAAACAAAAACCTTAGCAGCGATATCAATCAGACTTATGCCTCGGTAGTTCTCGCATATTGACCTGTCTCCCTTTTTGTGGAACGGTAGCAGAACTGAGGTGCTCCAATCGGAAGGAATGGTTTCGGACTCCCAAATTGAGCAGAACAGCGAGTGCAGTGCATCGATTAGCGCTGGAGTGCAGGCCTTGTATATTTCTGGGGGTAGACCATCTTCGCCCGGAGCTTTTTTGTTTCTGAGTCTGTTAATTGTTTTAGCTATTTCGGTTGGAGTGGGTGGATCGCAGTCAACTACGTAGGGTGTTGGTAAGTGTCGTATCGGTCGATGAGACGGTTGACCAGCGTCGCGATTGAGTAGCTGCTTGAAATGTTCGGCCCATCGTTCCATCTTACCATTGGTGTCCGAAATAATTTCTCCTGATGCTGTGCGTAACACAGCATGACTGTTAAGGCGTTTGCCAGATGATTGGCGTATGAGGCGATAAAGTTTTCCGAAATCGCCTACATTTGATGCTGCTTCCATGTTAGTCGCCACGTTAGACCAATAGCGATTTCTGTCGTTCCTAGCAGACTGTGTAGCTTTGCGCCTGAGGGAGCGATAAACTGGAGACTTTGCTAGGCGAGCGTCTCTGGCTTGCGAGGATAGAAGCATGGTGTGCTCTGAAATCCAGTCTTTCTGCTTCTTGGATGTGGTACCCAAATGCGACATTGAAGCTTTAGAGACTACTTCTTTGAAATGATTCCATCGTGTCTCGGGTGTATTAGAAGATGTGGATGTTGGTTCATCTGCGGCGCTTAGTTCGGCCTGGATTTGTTTGGACAAGGCTTGTCGCTTTGTCGAACATTGAAGCGGGGCAACATTGATACGCTTCGGAGGTCGCGCCTTCTGGCGTGTCGTTAAACGAAGTTTGAATTTCGCCCTAACTAGAGTATGGTCTGATCCCCCTTTATTTCCGGCCTCTGCTCCACGATAGGATCGACAGTCTTCCACCGAGGAGATCCAGCGTGAGCGCACTAGGATGTAGTCGATCTGATGTGCAGTGCGACCGTCGTTCGAATACCAGGTGAGAAGATGTTTTCTGGGGTGTTGAAATCGAGTGTTGGTGATATATAATCGATTGTAATCAGAAAAAGCTAAAAGTCTATCACCATTACGGCAGCGCTGATCGAGACCGTGTTTGCCTAGTATATGTTTTGTCGCGTCGTCTGAAGGGCCAGTGCGGGCGTTCCAATCGCCGGCTACTATGAGAACGTCACGCTTTGGGATTTTGTTGATTGCCTCTTGAAGATTGTCATAAAATTCGTCTTTGATACTTTCATCAGAGTCGAGGGTTGGGGCATAGACAGCGAGAACAGAAATGTCGAGCGGGGAACCCTTGAACCTAGCGACTGCAACTCTGGAGTTGACCGGTTCGAATGATATTAGGGCATTATTGGCTTTGTTACTGAGAGCAAATGCTACCCCATGTTGTCCCGAATTATTCTGGGGTCCACTATGAAGCAACCAGAATGAAGAATCTGTTCCAGGTACGGCTATTCGGCGGGAGCCATGATCGGGTAACCTCACTTCAGATAGACACGCTATGTCTACCTTGTAGTCATATAAAGAACGCATGGTGATAGACTGGCTACCAGGATCCAACAGCGTCCTAACATTCCAGCAGCCAACAAATAGTTGGTTTCTAAGTGTTAATTTCCCAGCTAGCTTACTTTTCACACTGGCCACCGGGTGAGCACAGGGCGCGTCGCTTACCGGGAACGCCGTAGCATGGTGAGAGTTGTTTGTAGGAGAGTTCATGAAGTTTCTTGGGAATTTGGTACGAGTGATGTCCCCAGCATCGCTCGGCCTTTTGTTTGAGAGTGCAGCTCTAGCCTTTACACAGCCAAGTGTGACCTACAAGGCAGTAGGAGTGGAGTAAGGAGTCCACTATCCATTGGCAGCCGGTGACCGGAGTTCGGTTCATACGCCTTTTTGAATGGGGCCAGACATCCAGGACATCCAACAAGCCCTTTGTCCATACGTCTGCCGGTGAGCTCCGGTGAGCTTCATACGCCAGTCGTTGAAGGTTTGGAATCAGGGTTTAGCCATCTCCCCTAGACTGTCATCCAATGGACAGTCAACCCGGTGGAGAGCGCCGGGCATCCGCTTTTGCCCTCTCACTTTAGTGAGAAACACCTCCGCCACGTGAAGGCAGTGAGTAGGACTTCCTCAGGAGAGGCTATGTAAGACGCACGGTCATATGGGAGCATTTCAAGAGGTGTGCGGAGGGGTGGCCAACCCGCAGCGCAAGACACCCACCCCCGACCATCCTGAGGCTTTGGAGGCCTGTTTGCGCCTGACATAATTTATCCGAAATGTGTAATGCATTTGTGCAACACATTTCACACATTTACTTGTCATACTTATTTATTCAGGGTACAATGGAACAGCAATATTATAAGTCAAGTTTTCCACAGTTTAAGGTCATGCATAAGAGGTAGGAAAATGACGTGAAAATATAGGATAAGAAGAAAATGATGAGAGGATGAAATTGTTACTAAGTAAGGTGAAACTTCTTTCTACAGTTGGATAAGCAAAGAAAATTCAGGGAAACGACCAGTAGTAATTTATTTCCTTATCAGCCCTTTATCACTTGATGCATTTCCATTAGTGCATATATCCCTGTATGTTGAGCATTCAGCTGCAGAGTTCTACCGAAACTTGATGAATTCATTTATTCCTGTTTTACAGTACTTTGTTCCTTGTTTTTCATATGACCAGTCATTTTCAACACAAAATGGGTGTAGGCCCTTGCATAGCTAAGCCTTCAAAGAATTAAAGTACGTGACCAAAACTTGTTTCGTAAGTGGGTTTAAAGGCATTACTGAAATCAGACTATGGTGTGAGTCTATGGACATCTATTTCCAGTATTAACTGGGGTAGGTGCCGAGGAATTTTCAAATCCCTATGCGACGCCACCACACCATTAGTGTTGACTGGTGCCCCATATTTTATTCAAATTGTTATTATCACTAACCCATAATAGCATGGACCTATTAAACCTTTCCTAGTGTTTTTGCCATCCAAATTTATCGCTTGTCAGTAGTTTCTTTATTGTTCGACATTGCACTACTTGGGATTACTAAGTAGTGTGAGTTTATATTTTCCACCCACTCAGTCATAACCGTAGTTTGCTATCGAAATTTTTTTCAAAGTTATAATATTCTGCTTGATATATAGTAGTTATTCGCTTATGTTAAACCGAATATGCTGCATACGTTTTCTCTCTTCGACACCGTTTATTTAGAACCGTTTATTCCACATCTGGCGTTCGTGAGATGTAAATCTGACCACCTTTGACAGAGCTTTGCCGTTCTTTCCTACTGACGCACACTGATCGCGCATATGACGGTATTCGTCCACAGATCCCTCAAAACTCAAAGTTCGTTCATTATACTTCGCTATTTTAGGAACGGCGTAGTACCGTACTTCAGATAAATCCTGTGGTTGGGATTTTATTAGTAACTCATACCCTTGGTTAATTATTTGCTTGTAATTACCTATCTGGATTTCTTAAAAGAAACTTACACTTAGATTCTGTGTACAATTAAGTTCACTTTTAAAGAAATTAGTCAAACTACATATACTGATAAAATAAAAATACACGGAAGGAATAACAGAACGCGTTTGACCTAGAGTCAAATCATCGATATATGCGTGTCTGGAGAGCGATATTTTGCGACCCAAGATGACAACATGAATAACATGAGTTAGAAGGTCGAGTGTCTGTTATATCCTATCATGTATCTGCTGATAATTTTCATCCATCTGTTTTGATATTCCTCATCTATGGGTGGAATACTTTAGGAACATCCAAATGTCTGGTGCAAACAAGGACCATGTTGTTCTCTGTCACAAATGTAAAGTGCGGCACAAATTGTATTCATCTAATAGACAACCAGTCCACATAAACTTGTGTCTGACTATTACAGTGATCACTGACTTGCTCTTATGTATTAGCAATCACATAGAACGATACATAATGGAAACGTTCAGTTATGTGTTCTTTGATAGTCCATCTATTTTCTGGTAAGTGGTGCGACAAAGTGAATCTGATCACATAGAAAACATGTTACCATCAGGTTTAGGGAAGAAGATGTGATCGTGAATGTTTAAGCAATATACGTAAGCAAGCGATGAACTGAAAATAAGTAAAAGAAGGATAATACGGCATTTCGGGAACTTGGATCCAGTGTTCAGTATGATTTATCTGACTTGCGGTTGAAGGTCATAGAAAGTCAAGCGACTCGATAAACTTTGTCTGAATCCCTACTAAATATTTACTGTCTACTTAGATAATGTAAGTCTTTGCTTTTTTTATCGTTGCTGTTATGATCACTGTGGTTATTATTCAGTAATTCATATTTTTGAGTGATAACTCTACCATCTACACAATTATCGTGTGCCTGTGCTTAATTATAAATTACACGAAGAGCGCATCCGCTTAACTAGTTTTCCCTAAATTCCATCAAGGAAATATTGAAGTCTGTGTTTATGCCTCCCATCACCATGAAGGATGATGGTAATGGGTAGTTTTTTAGAATACTGATCAACCGTAAAAGGGGTGCATGTTATCTGAGCAAGTGAGTACCCTTCGTGATAAGTGTCTTGCATTTTGTGTAAATAACCGGAATGACATTTGACAGGACAAGACGAATTAAACTTACGTCATGTAGGGTTAGGGATTTAGCAATACTTCACTCACTCATATATTTTAGTGGGCTTTGTGTTAGTGTGTCAACGGTCAGATTCACTGCGATCAACGTCCAAGTGATTAAATCATTGGGCTGGGTTACTGCAGACTGCGACTGTTTATTTGCAACTAAGTTGATATATTCGGTGAATCTTTGACATTCACCAGGAGTCAATTCGTATAGGGCAAAGGACCTCTGATTATTATCCCGCTGAAGTTCGGACATACGTGATCTGATAGAATCAGCACAATTCATTGCATGACGCCGAAGGGACTTCGTATTGGGATATATTTTTTGATTCCATATTTTTAATTACGATGACTTAATTTTTTTGCCTGTTATTTAATTGCTTGTATTCTTGTATTCATTTAGAACTCTTACGTATTTTCGTATTATCTACTTTGTTCCTATGTGCATCCTGAGTCAACTTCACTCATCAAACTATTCATACTATTACATAACTTCTTTAACAACTGTTCGTGACAACTCATCACCTTTGATACTACCATAATTTCATTAACATCTAATTTTCTTGATTTGTAGTATCAATCTCCAACTGTTTAGTTGAAATAACCATAAACAGTTGTAATTTTGTTTGACAAAATTAATATATGCATACATACAAAATAACATGTATATATTTCCGATTATGCTGCTGAGAAAATTAATTCGCGGAAAGGGACTCTTCGCAGATCTACGTGTTTTGTTTTCGTAATTGCCTGGATGGGGATTATCCAGGAATTAATTAATTACTTAACTAATAATTATTCAGTTGATTAATCAATTAAG